CCCACTATAACAATAAGTAATTAAACATCAGCTCCCCCTTTTTAAAAGGTTATAAATGAAGTATATGCTCGCCCATATGGTCTCTTTCCGGTGGCGAGGGTAAACAAACCCAAACACACACACGTAAGAACTATCATTTGAGTACTTCCGTGTAGTTTAACCACACACGTGCACGGTGTTGAGACTGTTGTGGCCGTAAGGGTCGGTTTCTTGATAAAAATCTGACCCCTCTGGCAGGGTCTAAATACTTGCGGGGCCTATATACACAAGTTGGTTTTATAAGCATATATTATATGTCCCACACAGTTCATTGTGCATTTCCGTTTTTGTACACTGTATCCGATACACCATTAATCACAGAATTAAATGACAATATCTATATACAGATATATGAAAGGCAGTAACTGTTGCTAGGGTGTAAGACTTATGTATAACAATAACAGTTAAGACAAACTTAAATATTGCACCGTATATTGGTAAAAGCCCGAGCCGGAGGAATATTGTTTTCGTATGCTCTGTGTTTTCTTACTGAGAATTAAATAAAGTTAATGCAATCTATATGACTTACCTGTAAATGTAGAAATAAACAGATGATTATTATGTCCTGTCAAGCAAGATTCACAAATAAATGTTTCGCATTGTATACAAAAGTCATCACGTTCATGTCCTTTTGCTTTAGAATTCAGTTCACAACACAATTCCGTCTCTGCATTCATTACATCTGAAATAAATGTTGTGATATTGATGAAATTGTCATTTTATTAGGTACAAATCTTAATAGATAACTTGAGAAATATCAGCAAATACAAAATATAACTTTCATTAAAGACAATAATTGTCCGACTGCCCTTTTCACACAGAAGGAGCAGCACAACAGTTCTAGCATTAAATGCTTAATATAGTTACATAGGCACATATAGGTTGAACAAAACCTGTGTAACATATTGCATGACCTTAAAGTAAGATAACAGAAACGCTTCTCATTTCAAATAAAACTAGAACTATCGCTGTACGCGATTAATACCCCTACCGATGTCCTTGACAGAAATTAAAATAACTTTCATAGCAACAAGAAACATATTAAAAAAATGTTTTTTTTATGAAAAAAGTCAACAAAAATGATGGTTTTAAGTGACACACAAAGGAGCATTGGTGATCCTGAACACATTTCTTAAATTTAAATTAATGGTCAAGTTTCAAGCCAATATAGTATTACCTTTTTTTGGTTTCAAAATATTACTGTAACAATTAATTTACATATCTTACAAGAGTCATTGCCAAACAAGGGGATGTATAATGTTTAATCGAATTAATAAATATATGAAAAATTGTTGTAAAAAACAAATTTATTAATTTTACCTTTATGGTCAAAAGTCATAATTTGATCACATGTCGGTTTGGTCAAAAAATGATTGACACACAGAATCACATTCATACATATTAACAAAGATATGACAATTCAAATCAAGTTCAATAATTTGATATTGGCAGATAGAGTGTCTCAAAACTCAATGTCAGTTCAATTTTCTGCAAAATTTAAAGCAATAATTTCACCTCAGGGTCAAAGTTATTTTTAAGTCAAGGTCAAATTCAGTTTCATTTTTCATTAAGTTCTTGTCCTTAAAGGTGTTGTGTGTAAATATGAAGACAATCTTTTCATTGAAAACAAAGTTATAGACAGTTACAGCAAAAATTCAGCAAATCTCAATAATTCGACAAAACGAATACGTGTTTCTGTCGTAGATAACAATCTTGAATAATTATATTATAATAAGATTATAGTAAAAAGTGCTTATTTTTTAATTACTGTAAATACTCACGCATTCGTTTGTGTAATTGTTTAATGCTTTACAGTAATGTGTTTGTGATTATTTGCTAGTGTTTCTGTTTTGTACATAATGTACAAGTTAGGGTTTTAAATGTTATGGGTCGCTGTGTCAAAGAGTCATGTAATATAAACAACTGACAACGATTCAAACTAATCAGTTACAACACCTTTTCGTGAAACTTAGCTTTAGTTCAAAGACGTTAAAGTTCGTCAACTACACTGTTGTAATGAAGAATTAATGTATAAGTTTATCAAAACGAACATTTGTAAATATGTAACATCTATACATTTAGTAGATAAATATAGAGTTAAAAAAGTTATCGCATTTACTTTGACATGTTAGATTAAATTATTTTTATCTTACCTGTCACGTTTGAAATAACTAAATGCGTGCAATGATGTTTTAAGCATGATGCACATATGAATGTCTTGCATTGCATGCAAAAGTCGACAGTTTCTGTTCCTCCTGTAGTTTTGTTCTGTCTACAACACATCCGTGCCCTGGTATTACGAGGACCTTAAATTTCAAATAAATGTGTGGTTAAAATGTAACTTAGGTAATATATCTTACCATCCTCCCCCCTCAAAACAAAAAGAAAAGAAAAGAAGATACAACAACAACGACAACAACATCTTCATAAACAAATAAGAAACACCCCCGCCCCCTAAAAAAATAAATAAAATAAAAAAAAAAATAAAAAAAATGCTATTTAGCAAGCTTAAATAAAGATGTCTACTCGGTTTGCTTTTGGACCCCCCCCCACAGGGTCAATATCAAAGGGTTTTCGGAGGATAACATTTGTCTTATAGTTTACTATATATTTTTTATATAGAATGCTTTGTACACAGTTGATACTTCATGAATTATAGGTTGAGTTCCAATTTTGTTCCAGACCACTTATTTTTTCAAATTGTCAAGGTTGCTGGTGGGGGTATTAATCACGTTAAGTGATAGCTCTAGTTAAATTAGTAATAATTTGTCATCATAACCTTCGTCAGTATGTCAACGACATCGTTCTTATTTAAACTTCATCCTTTGTTTTCTCAATATTCAACTGACTCTCTTACAGATATCTTTCAAAACATTTTAGGACATTCTTTTATGTAAATCAGATCACAGTTTCGATATTTTATTGACAATGTTTTAAAGACTCTAACCTTCCAAGTCGGGTAGATATGTCCTAAACTATTTGTTTAAAAATTCCATTTAGTCAGCATAATCTACTGATTTACTTGATTTGCACCCGTTTGTTTACTGACCGAATCCGTCTGTTGCACATTCATGGGTGTTGATGCGTTATTTAACGGTTGTTGCCAATACTGGATAACCTATAGGCATATTTGCATCCGGACTGTATCATGTCCCATTTATAGATTATGGTATTTGAGCCATTTTGCCGTTATTGTTAAAGTTATAATCCCTATTTACTTGTGATCTGCTATCGTTACGAACCGTTGACCACTGCACTCCAGGCAAAGAAGCTGGAATTTCTATTACATGTATCTTTAAAGTATATATTTATAAACTTTTAAGGCTAAATGGAGTTCTAAGAAACAAATTCGTAGGAAACAATGTTGCTGATGATTAATCTATAGACATGTACGATGTATGGTACCGACTTGATTGCTGTCACCGATTAATTCATTAACAATGAAGAACTAGGGTCGTTCACTCACCATCGTTTTTTGCTTATCAGTATAATGAAGATACGTTTGACTTGAAACCGGACAATTAAACATACGATTCTTTTTCTGATGCAGTAAAAGATAGACTCGTCCCATTTTAATGGGGGAGCACTACGAATTAACAGGAAACGAAGAAATTATTTAACACGCAAAATGACATTTAGATAGAATGTGTACATATTAGCCTTTTTTATAAACTTTGCCTCTTTTGTTTAATGATCACAATTATACTGTTTTGTGCCGTCTGCTACTCGTAACTGTGTTAACCTCTAAACTAAAAGTAAAACTTCCTGATTTCAAAATGGCGCTGTCGATTAAACAAAATGGCGCGTTCCATGCACATTATGAATGCTTTGGATATCTGGGTGAATTTTAATATCGTCACGCCTCAGTGAGTTTCATTAAACATAGTTCTTCTTATCATGAGAAGAAGGAAGAATAAAGTTCACAATGCAACACGGTATTTAAGCTCAATACCGCTTGGTTTGCGTTTAGCCCATACTTGACCCGCAGACATGCATATCTCATGTATTAAAACACATTTTTTTTACTTTACAGTTCAAAGTAATTCCCCATTAAATTTGGCTATACAGCGCATAATGAACAATTGCGAATGACGAATAGATAGTATTATTTATTCTGCGTTCATGGTGAATCATGTTAATTTAGATTAAACATTGTTATTTTTATGCTTTTGATTTTTTTTTATTATTTAAAATAATGAGCAAAAATAAAGAAATTGATAAAGTTGAACTCGTGATGTTCAAAACATGAATTAATGAATTGAAATCGTGAATTTGCGAAGTTAGAATAGTGAATTCCGTATGTTGAGAACGTGAATTCACGAGATAAAATTGAGAATTCACGAAGATGAAATCGGGAATTTATGAATTTGAAATGTTCCCACCGGTCTTCCATAAATGTTCCTTACCGTTTCGAGTATACAAACATTATTTGTTGTATATTTGTAATTCGCGGATGAAAGAAATGCTGAAATTATTGAAGAATCCACACAGTATTTAAAGGAACTCCACTGAGGTTTATAAGCCTAAAACCATAAAATTTTAATTTCTCACATAAATCAACTGGTGCACCTAAAACGGAAATATATACAAAAGATAATTAAGAAATATACCCAGAAATACACTGATATTCGTATGTTAGTGTTATTCTCAGTCCGATCTGAGTAAAAAGCGTTTAAACACTTTTCAATTTTAGTTCATTTTTGACAATTAAAACAATTATTCTGGAAGAACAAAGCGAGGTAATGATCTGCAATCTTGCACATAAATTGTTGGTAAAGACCTAAAGCAGATGATGTAATAATCTCAAAAAATATTTCCAGTCCCGTCATGTCAAAAAACCTCAGTGGAGTCCCTTTAAATCTTATGTTTATATAATATTTTAAAAAATAAGATAATACTTGAATGTGGAAAGATATATTTATCTATTTATTTATTTATTTATTATTTCAGCAAACCTAAATATTGGTATATCTTTGCAAATTCATTGCCTATATATGAAATGAGAACCTGGTAATGTTCCCAGACTCCAGCTGTCAAATCGATTGCCGGCCAATCGGTGATTAGAATTATATGCACACCTCTAAACGGTGTTATCTTAGACATTTCTCTTAAACATAGAGGGTCTATAACTACGGTGTTGCATTAGGGCCAGCGCAGTCTCGCGCTGTCGTCCTTATGGCGAAATCGCGAAACGAGATATATTGACGCGAAAACACGATGCGATAAAGCAAAAACACGATTAGAGATAGCAAAAAATATTGCGTTATGATGGCGCCTGAAGACGAGACACGATAGTGTGATACATGTTTTTATGTATACCATGGTGATATTTATGCATAAAGAAGGCGAAAGTGCGATATTAAAATATCGTGTTTTCGCCTTCGCGGTCAGTATGACCAAAAAGCCAAAACACGATACGAGATCGCGAAAACACGACGCGAAAGATATCACGTTTTTGCACTGTTAATATCGTGTTTTCGCGTTTTAGCCCTACAGACTGCGAAGGGGAAAACACGAAAACACGATTGGAGATCGAGGGCAAAAACGCAACCCACAATATCAATAGACAAAGTGCGAAAACGCGATATATTTTGCATCGTGTTTTTGCGATCTTGTATCGTGTTTTCGCGTCAATGCATCGTGTTTTTGCGATTAAAAGCGACAGCGTGAAACCAGCGTGATGGCCCTAACGGAATTCCGTATATAACTGACGGTACCGAACCGTTTCTGAACTAAATTATTATCCGAATGATCATACAAGTTTACAATTAAAATGTTAAAAAGGTTGTTATATGATAACAGCAATTTATATTCTTATGTTTCCACATGTAAAGTGTTTTATTACAAAAGAAGTTTATTTCGTTTCTAGGCTCAAAGAAAGTATTTACCCTCGTATATCGGTGTTTACGTCTCAAAGTCATAGTAAACTGAACGTAGCTGTCATTTCTCTATGTGCAATAAAATATAAATGTTATAGCGTAAATCGAAATTATTGTTTAATGCGTTTCGTAAATTTAAAATGTTGGAATAACGAAAAATACATCTACAGATATCAGTAAAAGGACACCTCTTTAACTTGTATAACATATAATTGAGCAAAAGCTAGGAGAAATGATGGTTTTCATTCGATATTCATTGGTATTTTACGTAGTTCTGGGTTTTCCAGATTGTAACATACTAGTACAAGTACTTAACAACTATAAAACTATTCGTTTGGCCATAAGATTATTATTTTGAAATATGCTAAATTCATTATTATTATCATGATTGTTCAGGGCAGTGTACAGTGTCATGGTATTTTGGAATTCGTGGAATTTTTGTGTGCCAGAAATGCAGCTGTCGCCACTTTACAGCAAATGTAGATGGAACTGAGTATGATAGCAAAGAGTTACTCAGAGTAAGATATTTTCGTCCGTACTGACAACCAGTGTTTGATTTTTTGTCTCTTTTATATAATATAAGAATTAATGCTGAGGCAAAATTGTGTCATAGAACAAATCAGAACATAATTCATTTTGGATTTGTACATGCAATATAGATACACAAATTAGAAAGATGTCACGTTTCTATTAAACAAAAACATAGGATTTAATATATATAATTGAATTTTATGTGAAGCTGGAGAATGAATGATGTATTAAGAGAATATTATTATCACTTATAAAATCATATAATTTGCTTTGCAGAATATAGCATATTTGATACAACAAATCAATTGAACATTTAGTATAAATTTTTAACAAATATAAAAATTCAGCTATAAGTACTAACAAAAGTGTTCCTGATTTTAATCGATTATTCTCAAATATTTAGCTAGATTCGTAATTATAATTTTATTAGTTACTGTAATATCAGATCAATAAATTTACACATTGATGGTCTTTCGTAATAATATCGTTTCACAAATTGCATGGGCATTTCCAAACTAAATTGTATTCGTCTTCCAAATCTCTAGTATTACAAATCAACAATATCTTTCATTCTTTTGGATTCTATTTTGCCCATATCAACCCGTTTATACTCTTAGTGTATATGCAGACATTATTGTGATGTAAAATTTAATAGCCTTATGTAATATGTTAAGATAGTTTTCGTATGAATTTAATTTTTTACATTTTGTATAAAGTTCTAAAACAGAATTATTCTCTATGATGAATTATGAGTGTATAATTATCAATAACCTTTTGTTTAAATATTTTTGGAAATAATTTAATATCTTCAAAATTATTTTCAAAAAGTATTCGGATACACCATATATAATAAGGATTTCTTTAATATTTGACATCAAGTTCTTTTTACCTTATAATAATCGGATAAACGAACTGAATTCATATATTTTCCTAAAATTGTATTGTTAGTATTTATCAATTTCCACCAAAACATTCTAACGTATCTATTTACATACGATGGGTGACGGCCAAGTTCACCGTATATACTTACATTGCTTGTATTGGCCCTAACATTTAAAATTATTTTACAAAATTATAAGTGATTACGCTCAATATCTTTTGATTTGCTATAACCCAATAATTCTGATGCATATGATATGATTGAGTCTACAGAAGAATCAAATAATTGACATAGTAATTGGGGTTTTAAATCCATGTCTTTACAATGAATCTATATTGTGTGTCATACGTCATGAAATGACGTCAATTAATTCCAGCGCATTTGAAAATGCTAGAACATCCTATGTTATATTCAAGAATCAAATATATTAAATATTATGTGAAAACTCGAACACGCGTAAAGGTTTTATATACAATGTATTGTAACGTGTACCGAGCGGATGTACAACGAATATATAATAAATTTTTCTTTGGGCTACCTGCCGTTTGATCAGATACAAATGATTATGAAATTATCATATATCATAAACAATCAGCTTGAATTAATACTCCAAAATACACTATTAAATTATCAAAAGTCACAATACAGTAAATATGTTTACAATATAACACTATGAAATAATTCAAAAGCTATAGATATCACGCTGCAACCCGATAATTTCCTATAGTCCAGCAACTACCTCCCTATCTATGAAGCGAGGCTTCTATCTAGATAGAAAGATAACCTGCTGGTAGGGATCTATAACAAAGTTCCAACTATACAAATCTAATTCGTTTTAAATCTACCTCTGGATTTTTAATACCTATATGTTACCAATTCCCTGATAGCGAGGCTTTCAGAAAATATGGAGATCTATAAGTACCCAGAGTCAAATACAATTTAACAACTAAACTATAACGACACTATATCCATGAAGCTAGGCTTCAATTGGATAAACAAGGGTATTTAGTTTTGGCCAATTCTTCTTTTCTACCTATGAAGCTAGGATTCAGTTAGGTAGACGAAATTATCCTCTATGTATGAAGCGAGGCTTCAATTACATAGAGTAATCTTGTCCCGGTGAATTCCTCTGCAGACTGAGTAATTTTGCTTTAATCGCCGTATTTATACCTGCTGAGATGATCGCTCAAGCATGACTTTATTTTCATTGGCTGATTAGAATAATCATAATCACTGAGACGATTATAATATTATATGATACCAAACGTTTATTGAAAATACGTATACCAAACGTATATTGTAAAGTACCGTAAACTAAAATACATTGTCGTAATATAAACAATTTATATAATTGCCGAGTAACACTAATATCATTTGTCGAATGAGTAAATGATAATCTTTAATCAAAACAAAGCTAAGTAAAATGTCGAAACGTTACAGTATTTGACCTTATTGAATTCAGTTTTTCCTTCCTAAATATATTATTGTATTTAAGTGAAGTTTGTACAGTTAAATCACTTAATGTTGGCGATTGTAATTCCGCCGTATAATTTACGCCTTTAATCTTCATTTTAATTGATATGAGATTGCCAGCAGTTTTGTGACATCGTCAACAATAAAATTCGGTAGAAATAACTAAGATTAAACAACCGAGGGTGAGAACCGATACACTGTTTTCTTTTTAATCAAATTTCATGCTAATTTTTACGGTGACATAAAGGTGACATATAATTCTTTTTACTACGTGCGTAAGCGATAAGTACATGTTTTGTCCACACGATACGTTTTACGCGCAATACTAATAACTTGCTTTGTCAAGAAAAGGTTTCATGTGCCCAACTAATAATTAAAGTATTTAAAGTATTTCATATGTTCCTTTATGCAATCGCATATTTCACATACGTATACGTTATAATATTAATTTATTTGAACATAATATCAGTGTTATGCTACAAGCGACCGGGAATATTTTAATTTACAATGTTTCTGAAGCTAACCACCTTAGTATTAGTGATGTAACACTGTAAAGTATTCTATTGGTAACTTGCCTAGCTGAACAATGTTTCATAGCAATAAAAGTATCAGTCTACGTTTTAGTATATTTCTTGATTAAAGGTACTCATTCGTTGCAGTCAATTTGTGATACGTTATTGAAATAATAAAAACAGAAACACTAGTCGAAATTTGTTAAAATTTCAGTTAAGTATAATTAATGGAAAGCATAACACTTTGAGATTTAATCTTTTTACTTAGCATGGTATCATTCACAACCAAGCCGAAAGTAGCCTACTAGCCAAAACGAAATGTGTCCATTTGCATATTTGTACATTTTATTTTTTTATGACAAATAGTACTAACGATGCCAATGAACATTTAAAAAACACACTTTACTCTCAATTAGAATGTCAACACTTTTTATCAACACCATGTTAGTCCTTATTAATTAATTGACATCGATAAAAGGCGCTTAACATAAAACAAAGATACCGTTATGTTACGCGTGTGAAATGAAAAATGCGAAATGTTTTCATTACACAGAAAAGAGAAGTCGTGTGATACATGTATATTCGTCATAGATTAATCATTTCATTTCAACCGTGTACAAAAACTGACTATACATTACCCATTTGTCCTTAAGTACGCTTAAAGATGCTTTTGTAAGGTCTTTATATTAGCTATAGAAAGTTAAACATAAGTTAGCTATAGGATTTTAACATGTTTTTCATTCACACACATGCCAAAGAAGATGGTAATTGCTGGTGGAAAAGTTTTCAAACGTAAAGAAAAAGACACCGTCAGGGCGATCTACGTAACATCTGGATAAACCGTATTCAATAGATGATTGATATATTTAAGTGTTTTTGAGTAAATTGTTTAACTGAAAATCCCTGTTTTTAATTATGATTGTTCAAACTTATCTACATAATAAATAAGTGCTAATGACCCCTTCATTTCCTGATGTAATATTAGAATGCAAACACGAACAATCTTTGAAAATAAATGGATGTAACATTAATGGCGAATAAAAATCAATGTTAAGACAAAATGAAAAGAACGTTAAGTCGGTATAGTTTGTTCTAAATTTATACATCCGGTGGCAATTCATAAAAAGGTAAATGATTGAAAATGTCTGAATATTAAAATAAATATGTTGACCATTGAAGGAAATATCGCGATACGGGGGTTCTGTACATCGATCATATAACATGGCGCTGCATACCGCCATATTGTTGCATCTTTAATTTGTCCCTCTAGTGTCAGGCTTATATATGATATATGACAATTTGAGTCATGTTCGTTTCTGTTTATTATATTAATACAATCATATTGTTTTTATGTTGATGAAGTTAAAAATGTTTAAAAGTGAGCAGATTTGGTTTTTAGCTTTATTATTTAAAATTCTCAAATTATGATGATCAAGTTATTATGCATGTGAATATACAGCATTAATGTATAATATAACAGCCACATGCTGTATACGTGTCAATTATTTGTTCCTGTTTGCATTTGATACTGTCCATACCCATTTATACGAAAATACAGCTTCGTAAACACCCTGTAAAACTCAAAATGCAATTCCGTATATCAACTGTTTAAATTGAAATAATTGAATTGAAATAATGCTTTATATACCATATGTATAACTAAAAAAACAATTTCGTGTATTGCTTGTATATGCCGTTAATGCTCTGTATAATTATGTAGAAAATACGGTTCCGTATAATTTTCATCCGTATACGTAGAAAATACAAACCTGTATATCTCAAAAATACGGCTCCGTATATATTCCGTATATATGCTGTGTATCTATAGCATACTAGAGAAAACGACCTTGATAAATTCCATATAAGTGATTTAAATCTCCGTATAATGTATATGTATGAAAAAATATACGTAAGTACATGTATATGAAGCCATTACGGAATTGCGTATATGCATGGTCCATATACGGACTTCCCGTATATCCGGTGACTCAATACGGACTCCTATACCTGATCCGTATATTTGAGAAATACGTCCCGTACACGCCCGTATATGTTATAAATAATTGACCGTATATTCTTGTATACAAGTGTTTTAGCAGTGTGATCCAAGTAATTTTGTGATTTAAAATAACTAAACTAATACATGAATTTTTGACTAAAATGTAAAAAAAAAACCAAATACCACGTAATTGTTGGTGACTCGTACAACCAGTGTGTTCGTGTTTTTCAATACACTGCGAGCAGATGAATAGTTTGCAAGTTTGACACACGCCTTTCAAATGTAAATAATCATGCTTGTAAAAATCTTTACAACACAGTCTATGGTCTTTTGCCTCTGCAATAAAAATATTATTTCACTTTTCTCCTTATTTTACAGAGAATACAGTGTGTAAATAAACTGCCAATAATGATAATATTTTGTGATAAAAAAATCAGTATTAGAAAATCTCAAGTTTGTATTAATTAATTATGTATCCTGTAAAAAGAAACAGAAAACCTTTTATAATCTCCTCTGATTATGATTTGACCAGGGATCTAGGTTCCAAATGGCAGATAAGTGCCTTCTTACATAGTAAAATATATCAGTTTCAAACTTTAACATATGCATCAAATATTATTTATAAGTAGAAATGTAGCCAGTTCTTTTGGTTATGAATATCACATTTTTATAAGAAAAGCAAACACCTTAGCTATCAGCTGGTTTCTTATACCTTTTACAAATGCATTTTGAAAATATTTGAAGAATCTTGTTATAACAATCTTAAATATCCGTTTTGCTGGAACAAATTTGAAGGTATCCATCATTAAGTCGTTTTAATTATAAATATACTTAAACTAAAATTTAATCATCTAAAGAAAATCACTGAATTCATCTACATGTTATAACAGTCACTTTTTTCTTTCTTTAACTTGATACTGGCACACTATCAAAATACGATATAATTTATGTAACCAAAGTGAATTTTAGGATACAAAAATAATACAAAAACTTTGTTTAAAAATGAGGTTGGAATTCTAAAGCAATTAAGTATTTAATAAAGATAAATATTTTTATTTGTTGAAACGACATAAAGCCTGTATAAAAATGCTTACTTGTGTCATCCGTATTCCATAAAAGTACACATTCTTTATTTGTGTGCTCCTTGTCTAAACATTTCAAGCATAAGTAAAATCCATGTAATAAGCAATATGCACGTGATGCATGAGAAGCTCCCGTTTTATTACAGTTTTCACAGCAAATTTCGTCTTCATATGAATCTTAAAAGGAATATGTTTCGAGTTTTTCCTGAATTTCAACTCATAACAGTGAATCAATTATTAGATGAAAAATTAATTGTAATAACATTATTCGAAAGAGAATATTCCAGTTGTTTTTATAAGCAGTTTGGATATTTTACGTTTAAATCTCGTTTCAACATTAAAAAATACTTTTTATACATGTATGTGAACAAAATTAGACATAGAAAGTATTTGTAAGGTATACTAGCAATTCTTGTATGTTTCTTCTTAAATACTGTCAGCTTTCCTTCTGGAAAACAAACAAACAGTTCAAATATTAATGTAACAGAGAATATGACGAGTCAAAACGGACGTTTTTTGTAATAAAGTACATCATAACAAAGTAAGACAGTAAGAAAGGTTTGTTCAGAAATATTCAGGTTTTATTTTCTACGTTAAAAGATGACTATGCGAGCAATATCCCGCAATGCCATCTTTTGACACAAGTATTGTAACCACAATATCACAATTGTGACAAAGTCAAAGCAGTGTAATAAATTTGCTAGATTTGAATGAAAAGAATATTTGATACGAGTCATTTGCGTCTACAATACAAAATTTGGCAGCCTACGCTATCCCATAACATAAAGTACAATTCTCACTGCTTTCAAAATTTTATCAATCCAATCTGATATGCATTCCAGCTGTCAATTAGTCGATATAAATATCAGATCCATAGACAATCGTACCCATCCACCCCCCCCCCCCAAAAAAAAAAAAAGAAAAAAAAAAATAAGGAAAAAAGTAATGTTTATCACTGTGATTAATCTTTTAGTTTTATAACGCTGAAATTTATATTTAGCCTTTAAACGATGGTGTCCTTTAATTAAAAAAATCAAATTACTAGAACCATTGGTATCACAAATTATTTTATGATAGATAGACAATTTAGACCGGCATACATCACATGATGAATACACAATAACTAATTAAATAGTAATCTCTTTAAAATAAGGTTTATTTGTTTTTAATCCGGACAGATTATTTCATTTTCAAAATTATAAGCAATGTGAAAGTGTTTCGTATCGTGTCGTATAACATTGTCATTAACAAATGTTGTATTTAAACAAGAGTTAATTTGGTTTTTTGCTTTCAAGTTAACATTTTCTTAACATTTTTTAGGCATTTAAATATTGGTGTCCATTGTTCAACCAGTTAGGTTTCTCTGATACCCCTTATGTTTTAAAGCAAAGGGTAAAACAAACAGCCAGATAAATTGTTTATTTTTAAAACTGTCAACCCAATTTGTTGTACATAAATATACAGTTTACATACACGAAAAGGATTTAGGTATTCGAAAATGTTACAAAATTTATAACAGTTACAAAAGTCTTAGGCTAATAATATGAAAATGTTGTTGAATGCGTATAACCAGCATTTTGTTTTTTCTTTATGAATATAGTCAATGGATACTCAACATGTCATCGGGTATGCGAGTTCTTAAGGAGTTTCAACTCTTGACACTTTAAGTAGAAGTGTTGTATACTTTGCATTTTTGTACTTCAACGCGATGTAATGCTTCGTAATGTTTAAAGTACCAACAACTTAACAATTCAATTAGTGCTTAAGGTCAGCTTAGTAAAACACTTGATCAGCAACTCACAAGTTTATTTCAGACTATTATAATAAATGTTTATTTATGAACGCAATACATGATTCACAAGTCATAGATGTTCTTACATTTTGGTAAGCAGGTGCACAGACTTTAACTACTAGTATTATATTTCCTGACCATATCTGATGAAATTATTTCTTTCACCCTATTGTAGAGGCAATTAAATTTTCACAGAATTTATAATCATATTGATTCGACAATTTGTTACTTTGTTGAATGGTATACAGATGCGCAAGGTGGTTCCGGTACCATGATTGATACATTGTACTATAAATTGTTTGAAAGGAGAAATGGATAACTCTCTGTAATAATTAATAAGATAACTTGATTCTGTTTTGTGAAGAGGAAGACGAATACTCAACGCTATCTTTGATTATATGATAATTATTATTTTGCCCCGTAAAACCTCTTGGTTTTTATTTTCTTTATATGTCCCATAAGCTAAAGGAGTAATCACAGAGAAATATAAAAATGTAATTGAATGAGATATTTTGCGAAATAACTAATGAGTGCCTTATACCCAGATTTCTCTTTTTCTTTGATGGGCAAGGAAGAAGATGGTTCGCTTTTTGCTGATAATTCACTTTTCGCAAGTCACTATGTCTCAGTCGCGGGATTACACTGTTATGGAGGAACATCGCGTCTTATGATACCGTGGTTATACATTCATTGGATGGTCATTTTACCCATTTATCTGCACAGTTATGACTCAAGTTAAAATGTTCTGGGGCCCCCAACCAAATACCCAAAACGCGTTGATCCCCATATATATTCGACGTATACAGTAATGCATGAGCTAGTTTTAGAAGGTGTGCATAAAGTCAGTCAGTCCAGAAAGCATGTCCGTTGTAACTTAAAAAAACTTATCCCAAAGCAATTATTTTCCTGGCAAAGTTTTTTCATGTTTGTGTATGCTACTCCTGCTGCAAACTAATAACCTCAATTTAGTAATCTTTACATATCTACTACAAAAATAAATGGGAACAAAAATCATGAAGGCCAAGTCTTTATTCACTTAAACACTACCCAAATTTATTGGAACTTTATATTATAAATAAAATCAACAAAAGAGAACTTATCAGAAAGGTTACTTAAGTGTTTTAAAAACTTTTGACGTTCGCGAAATTTGGTATAAAATGTTTCTGTAAGGAATATGAGTGTAAAAAACACCACAGGAGGGAGGAAGCCGTTGACAATATCAAGCCCTAGAGAATAACTGGAAAGGCACATATTAACTAAAACAGGACCACATACAGAAGGTGAGAAGGTTGGAGAGACCTAAGCTGGACAGGAGGAATCAATTCATAATCTATTTATCATTTATATTTAGTTCTTTCCCATTTTTATGTATTATAAATCCGAATATTAGACTAAAATATAGAAAGACAGAATCCCTAAAGAAAGTCCAACACAACAAAAATGAAAATGTTGCAGGCTCGGTTTACTTGAGCCTGTTCATAGACGGTACTGTAAAGTGCAAGTTACCGTCCACGCCCCCTAGCACCGGCTTAAGCAGAATTCAACATCTAACACGAAAATGGTGAAATTTTGAATTTAGAAACAACAGCAGATGTGTTCTTACGGCGTTTATCATGGAACCTTCAATTTGACACAGTAGAGCCATTCCATGAAAAGCGGCGTAAGGTCCCCAAGTAAAAGAATGCTTTTGCCCTAAACGAGAAAACAATGGGCGGAACTAAATAAAATGGAATTTAGAAAGGGGATCTGAGGTTGTGAAGCCTGCATATCACAGATAAGACGTCAAAAGACAAATTTAAAAAGCAGGCAACATAACCTAAGGGTGATTATACAGAATTCAAGTAGGAATACTGGAACCACCCAAGTTGAAAATGGCCCAATAGAAGAAACTAAAAGTACCACATAACATGTATACACAACAATTATGTCGTGCTGAACGATCTTCAATAATCGAAAATATAACATCATTGATTAAATGTACGGGGAGACTTTTTACAGCCGCTACACGGCACAAATTACACGGATCTTAAATACAAATCTTAGATACAAAGTGTGACATGTTGCCCCAGAGACAGGACCAATTTGATTTCATTCATAGTGATGTGAACAAAGTTGACAGAGGTCTATAACATAATACCTGATGCAAAGTATCAACGCGCTAGGCTTAATCTTGCTAGGCTTGATCTTTCGAAGGAAAGTTTTCCCGATATACATTTTCATGAAACTATATGCCTCTAAGGTTGAGCCATTTTATCTCAGATATAATGATACGAACAGACTTCATAGTTGCTTCCGCTGCATAGATTTTTCAATTGCAATTATATTTATATAGTTCGAAATAAACCGATTTCTGACCTAAACAAAACACAAACAAACATGTAGATTATTACAAAATATACCAAATGCAGATTTATACTGACTTTCGCATTTTTAAAACGTTGAGAAGCAGTACACAAAGATCAAGAATGCAAAGAGTTTTGCAAGTGACAGTTATATAAATATACTACATGTTTTGTTATTTGATTCTCAATGTTAAGTTTGTTATAATGCCTTTATAATACCATGTTAAAAATTTGATAGCAATAATATAAAATAAATAAAAAATTAATTGGTAAAAAGTTTTAAAGAATCAATAAATGAGGTCCACATAGGTATCGCATTTAAAGGTAAACCTTACCTTTAGTATTAAAACGGACTTCCGTGTCGCATTCCAATTTCACAGTGTTACACTCAGCAAATATCTTCACATTGTAATTCGTTGCTTCTAATAAGCGTTCTAATTTATAATGCATTACATCTCTTCCATTATGTGGAATGTCCACACATCTTTTATTCCCATCGTCTGTGTACCATATCAAGTTAAACATGTGCTCCGATCCTCGTTTTGGACCTGGTTTCCAACTTAACCAAACACTTTTGCTTGTCACACTTTCTTTATCAAAAGTGAACTCTTTTGGCTTCCCTGGTTTATCTTAGTAAATATAATAAAACGAAGGATTTGTTAATTTACGAAAGCAATTTTATCTGTAAATATGCGTTTTCATGATATATTTAACTTTTGTAAAAAAAAAAGTCATTTCTGGAGATACCTGAAAAAATAAAAAATGAATTATGTCAGATCATAACGAATACTCATATATCATTATTACAATCATTTTAACAAAACAAGTTTATTAAAAAAAACCAAAGAATATGCTATCAATCTTTATTTTCTCTTGCACAATTAAGTAGGTGTATAGACTTTAACTTTCATATTTCCTGACCATATCTCAGACTGATAAGATTCTTTATTTCACCCGATTGTAGCGTATTGATTAGAAAGGTAATTAAAGTTTTACAGAATTTATAATCATATTGATTTCGACAATTTGTTATTTTGTTGAATAATATACAGATGCGCAAGGTTGTTCAGGTATGATACTATGAATTATTTGAAAGGAGAAATAGATAACTCTCTGCAAAAATTAATAAGATAACTTGATTCTGTTGAACAGGTGACGAATACTCAACGCTATCTTTTATTATATTATATTTATTATTTTGTCCCGTAAAACTTCTTGGTATTTATTTTCTTTTTATGTCCCATAAATTAAAGCAGTAATCAATCAAAGAGAAATATAAAAATGTAATTGAATGAGATATTTTGCGAAATAACTAATGAGTGCCTTATACTCAGATTAATCTTTTTCTTTGATACATTAAATTTATTTATCAATTATTAATAATTAATAAATAATTATTAAATTTGATTTTATCTCAGAGATAATGATACGAACAGACTTCGTAGTTACTTCCGTTGCATAGATATAACAACTGCAATTATATTTGTATAATTCGAAATCAATCGATTTTTGACCAAAACAAACAAACATGTAGATTATCTAAAAATAGACCAGATACAGATTTATTATACTGACTTTCGCATTTTAAAATGTTGAGAAGCAGTACACAAAGGTCAATAGTGTAAATAGTTTTGCAAGTGACAGAATATATAATTTTATTACATGTTTTGTCATTTGTTTCTCAATCTTAAGTTTGTTATAATGACTTTACAATACCATGTTACAAATTTGAAAGCAAACAAATTATAATACATAAAAGTAGAACTGCCACTGTCATGGCGTGAATACCCCCGCATACCACTTTGTCAGAATCAACAGTGGCCATTTAGAGCTTAAGGAAAACCTCCCTGCCAAATCTGAGGTTACTAAGTCAGTGCATTGCTAAGTTATGTATTCTACATGCTTCAAATGTGAAAGTATCAAAGTCAATACACTGCGGACAGGCATTCTTAAGCAATTGAGGGAAAAAAGCTTTTTTAAAGTCAAGGTCCCTCTGAAGTTATCGGACGTAAAAGCTTTTTAAGTCAAAGCCCATGTGACCTTGACCTTTGACCTAGTGTCCTCAAAATCAAAAGGGGTCATCTACTAATCATGACTTACCTTTATGCCAAATATAAATACTGTTAGTCAAAGCATTCTTAAATGATTGTGCGGACAAACTTCTTATAGTTAAGGCCAGGCCCTGTGACCTTGACCTTTAACCCAGTGACCTCAAAATCAAAAGTGGTTACCTAATGGTCATGATCAACCTTCATTCAAAATATGAAAGCTGTGGGTCAAAAGTTTTTAAGTTATTGGGCGGATAAACTTTTTGATTTCAAAATCCATATACCTTGGCCTTTTACCCAATAATCTCAAAATAAAAAGGGGACACCTACTAATCATGACTAACCTCCATGCCGAATATGCAGACTGCGGGTCAAAGGAATCTTAAGTTATTGGGCGTACAAGTTATTTATAGTCAAGGCCCCATGTGACCTTGACCTTTGACCCAGTGACCTAAAAATCAATAGGGATCATCTACTTATCATGACTAACCTCCATGGTAAATATAAAGACTGTGGGTCAAAGCATTCTTTAGTGATTGGGCGGACAATCTTTTTAAAGTCAAAGTCCCTGTGACCTTGACCTATGACCCAGTGACCTCAAAATCAAAATGGATCATCCACTAAGCATGACTAACCTCCATGCCAAATATAGAGACTGTGGGTCAAAGCATTCTTAAGTCATTGGGCGGACAAAATTTTGGATGTCAAAATCCCTGTGACCTTGACCTTTGACCCAATGACCTCAAATCAAAAGTGTTACACAACTTATAACCTTTAAAAAAATCGCACTCACAGTTTTGGATTCATATTAACCATTAGCTATGCAAAGATATTTAAGGAGTTTTAACTTTGACAATATAAACAACTTCAATTGCTTAAGAATTCAACATCATTCACCGTAAACAAACTTAGTTCGTATAGGACTTTCAGCCTAGTTGAACGTACAAGTGTCTATTTTAAAATGTTGTAGCAAAATGACATGTGTTGATGCAACAAGAAGCTATATTATATATTTTGAAAGAAAACTGTTAACATGGCATCTAATATCGTACATAAATGAATACTTATTCATTCACACAGAAGAAACTTGTTTCGATTATCAAAATTTAATTATGGCCAGTTATTTCTTAGGTGTGAATAAGATGCAGTCAATTAGTTTTGTATCACAGAAATCTATATTAGATACACCTAAAACTTTAGTATAGTTACTAAATGCCATCATACCAAAACAGTGATGACATGAAGACAAAACTTGCTTGAAACAAAAAGTATAAACGATTAGTATGCATGTTTATATGTTTAATTATACAATTTACTGTAGTTTGGGTCATTGTTATACTCAATTTAAATCTAAAAGTGTTCTGCTTTGTTATCTAGGTTTTGTACAAAACAAAACAAATATATAAATTGATTCTGAAGACATGGGCAGTGTTGATGATAAGGGCTTTGTTCGCATTAAAGAGAAAAACAAGAAATAGATGTTTTGCCTTTATGTTAAATCATGTGTTTAGAGTTCAATCTTTACATTTTTTAATTTCATCTGCTGTTATTTTTTTTCTTTGCCGACTGTGACGTATTGATAAATGTCAATTAAATTAGGTATCAGTATTTTTGAATTTATATTATCTGCAACTAAAAATATGTTTATGAATTTAACTGTTAACAGTTGCTCTGTAAGGCAAATGAAAAATGTACTTGCATCACTTCAATATGTAAAAATTGCATCAAAGTCACAACATCCTTACAGGATCCTTACAGGTATGCAAGATGCTGAGACACTGTCATCATTTGAATTTGAGTTTTTATCATGGAAACATTTATTGTTTAAATATCAAACTATTTTTTGGCACATATTTGCAATATTACTAGTATTTTAGATTTACATAAAATTGTTCGTAAATAATATCAGTACTGTTACACAAAGTGAAGTTTGGATGAAATTGGCTTAGTGGTTTATGAGGAGATGTCATTTAAAGTAAAAGTTTACGGACGACGGACGGACGGACGGACGACGGACCAACTTTTGATGTTTATGAGGCAAATCAGCTCATAAACACCACCTGGACCAACGTCCATAAGCAAAATAAGCTCATAAAAACAAAAAAATAGCTCTTAATTTGAATTTTATGAGTTTTTGTTCTTTTTTTAACTACGGAATGAAGCTCATAATAATCAAATGTTTGCTCGGACGGACGAGACGGACGGACGCCGGACGAAAAGCGATCACAAAAGCTCACCCTGTCAGTTTGTGACAGGTGAGCTAAAAACAATAGATGTTAATTCCTGTTCTATAGTTAATCTTCCAGTAAATATTGTTGAAATATTTCATATCTATGTTTCTGTTATTTGAACTTTTTATTCATTTATCGATTTTATCTTAAATGTTACACGCTGAATCCTTTAACTATACCTCCAAGTTAGCTAAATAAAATTCATTCAATAAGTCGTTAAAGCATTTGGATTCCTCCAATCTCTAGTTACAGGTTTTTTCAGCATTAAATTAATTAGAACTAATGATCCTACAAAGGAAAATAGATATATATTTTAAATGAGGATATATAAGAACATCTTTTTTAAACTGCCTCACAGCACTTTGACACATATGTTATAAGTTAAATATTCTAAAAAAGAGATATTCTTTATCAGAATCAATAAGTTTTTGTCTGATAATGAGATCTTAAAAAATTAAATTTCAACCAAAGCGTATGCTAAAACCTTTAAGAACAGTAACTGTTATATTTTATGAAATTTAGTATGAATGCCTGTATAAAGTTGATTTAGACCGTATTTTTAATTATTCTCCGTACTGGAATGCAGCTTTTTTGCAAAAAAGTTGCGTAGACACATAAGTTGTCTTTAAAGTACTACATGTGTCACATTTCACAAAAACAACTGTTTTATACATTTTCAGATATAATAAAGAATGATATAAATTATGTGTAAGGCTTGTGTTTCTAAAACACAAAGCAAGAACAATTATAGTTAATTGCCTCATCAGATTAAATCAAACTTTCTTTTATTCTTTCTCTAACAAACATAAATTATAAATAATGGGTGTATAGTATGATCTTATTGACCTGTCAATCATAAATATATTATGACAATCATTTATATATTCGATCCCACTTCGGTTCTGTCCGTGTTTTTTACGAGATTTTTGGAAAGTCACAATTATAGCTTAATGTTTTGGTCATCGTTATATCCTCAACAGCACAGTCGAATAAGTGATATATGACGTCTGTGGTTCGATCCTTATTGTTGGCACTCTTTTAGACATACTCTTTTTTATTTGTGCAGTATATTTTGATGGAAATGTCAAGAGGCTTGCAAAATTGTCGAAACTGATTTGTAAAAGTTATAAGCACTGTTATGTATCGTTTTGCATTGTATTTTCAGACACTGATATGACATGCGTTGAATTGTATCCGAATGAATTGTAAATATAAATTCTTGTTATTTATAAAGATTATAGTCTTTACCAAAATAAATAAGTGCACATTATATTAAAAATCAAAATGAAAAACATAAAAAACAGTTATAGCTTAAATAATATTTACGTTTGAATAAGAAAAAAGCACTGA